GCCCGTGCAGCAGCCATTTTTGCAACTCCAAGGGGTTGATGCCTTATAGCAAAGGTTGGTATGGTTGGTGGCTTCAAGTATGTCCGTTTGTACAGTGAGTATCAAAAAATATATACACAGTTTTCCATAAATGGGGGTACCCCAAAATGGATAGGTTTATGATGGAAATTTTTTAAGATGGATGATTCAAAGATTCCCCTCCATGTATATAAATACACAGAGTATATAATATATACAATTATGTGTTTTTGTTTGAGCTTGAGACGACCGCCTTCATCGGATGCCCTCCTTTTTGCCATCGCGGGTGCGGGATCTGCGATGCATTCGGTCCGAAGACAGGTGACCTTCGCCCAGCAACATGGCCTTTTTCGAGCTGCAACTGCGTTAACGGTGATCTACAACCTACTAAAGGCGATGCCCTTGGGAAAAAATGGAAGAGATTCAAAAATTTGCTGGAAAACTCCTTAAATTTGATGACGAAACACATTTTTGCATATTTTTGCCAAAGTGGTGTCATCAAACACGGCGATGACAGCTGGAAAATCCACGGTTGGGGAAAGTCATTGTCCATAAATGGGGGATCCTCCAGATCGCCATGTGACAAGGTGACTTGCCAGACACGGCATGACGGGTTTGTCTCACGGATGCCTTTCATTTTTTGCCGCAAGAACGACTGGCAAAGCTCACTGAAAGAGCACTTTTAGATGGATCGGGTTAAGAATTTCGCAGAGCTTCATATGTGGACATGAAAGTTTCCTATGCTTTGGATGTTTTGATTACCATGTTATTTAAAGAAAGGACTTGGCAACCCCCATGGTGCGGCTCGTCCCCATCTCCTTAGTGGTGGTTTGGGTGGTTAACAAGTCCTTAATTATCCCTTATTATTGGGGATTCAGCCGAAGGTTGAATCCCCCATATTTCAACTTCTTGCCAGCGCAACGCTGCGTGTAGGCCAACTGTAGCAGCAAGGACAAGGTACACTCAACCTACGAGTCTTTGCCACAAGTGTACGGTGTGGAATTCTTTGTCAGCCATTCGTGGTCTTGTGCCCCCTGGATGAAAGCCTTGATCATTTCGCACGTCGCCTGTCTGATCACTGATTTTTTTTTTCAGATATGTCTCCTCAAAATTGGGGCATCATCCCCGATTCCTTTTTTTTGTGGGGTGGCTCAACCTCCAAGCAGATTAGCCGGTGAGGGTCCACCAGCTCCCTGGGTCGGAAGAATATGCATCAATATGCCAGATGAAATGTTGGAAAAATGTGAGACAATGTCAGAAAATGTGAGATAGAAGGGAAATAGAAGACCAGATAGAACGCAACATAGAATGTCAGATCAAAAAATCAGGTGGAATGCCAGCTCAAATGCCGGAAAGAATGCCATATGATTAACATGTCCCATAACAAAGTGTCCGGATGTCAGATAGTTTCAGATAGAATGTCAGATAGAATGCCAGATATGTCAGATAAAATGTCAGACAGAATGCAAGATAGGATGTCAGATAGAATGCCAGACAAGATGCCAGAAAGACTGCCAAGAGAAAGGTCAGAGTATATGTGCGTCAGAAAAGATGTCAGGTAGAATGTCTGAATATTTGTCAGATAGACGGTCAAAATATGTCTGAGATAAAGTGTCAGTCAGATAGTATGTCAGAACATGTGCTACGGTGGGGATTCCTCGAAGAAAGTAACTTAGCCAAAACCGAATCCAAGTTCTTGAACTTTGACATGGCTTTGACATCCTCTTTCTTCGCGTGCCTGTTGGCAGTTCTTTGTCTTTTGCTTCGGGCCGGCAGTTTGACGGGGATTGCTGAGCAGCCTCTCTGGTTGCTGAATGTATCGATCGTGGCTTGGCCCCTTTTGGTCTTCCTGGCTGTTTATTTCCTGGGACATCTTTGGGACAGCCGATCCTTCTGGTTTGATCGAATATGCGTGGACCAGCAAAATGCAAGTCTGAAGCTCCAGACGATCCAAGCAATTCCGGGCTTTGTGGCGCAATCAAAGAAGATGCTCGTGTTGTGGGACGACACCTACTTCGAGAGGTTATGGTGCAGCTTCTTCTATGTCTTCATTCACATTTTGGGTTTGGGAAAATGACTGAAGTAGTATGGCGCTGGCACTGGTAAAGTGGTGAAGTTGAGACCATTTTTGGGACAGAATATGAACGTTGGGATCGGATTATACTGAGGATGGTGCCTCGGTTGTGCACGCGAAAACCGACTCGGTTGTGCACGCGAAAAACAACTCAGTTGTGCACGCGGATGATGCTGCTGCTGCTGCTGCTCCTGCTGTTGCTGCTGCTGCTGCCGATGATGATGATGGTGATGATGATGATGATGCTGATGGTGCTGATGATGATGATGGTGGTGGTGGTGGTGATGATGCTGATGGTGCTGATGCTGATGATGCTGCTGCTGCTGATGATGATGATGATGATGATGGGACAAGGTGAGCAGTGCCTGTGTCTGCTGGACAACAAGAAAGATGATGAGGTTGCTGTGCCTGTGTGTGCACAGGGACATGAACGGTTCATGAACGTTATTACCCCACCGCACCCCACCCCAACCCACCGGTAACTGATCATGAATGAGCAGTGCCTGTGTCTGCTGGACAGCAAGAAAGAGAATGACGTTAACGACCCCACCCCATCCCCCGAAGGCTCTATGTGTACAACTGAGACACTTTTGTGTGCGCAAGTGAGTCAGAATCCTGTGTGCGCAGCTGAGTCAATTTTGTGTGCGCAAGTGAGTCGCCGTCCTTATATTGATTTTCAATTTTTCAGACCATACTCGTCTGTCTGGCCACTATGCCTTTTGAAACCCAACGCCACTGGTCTAAGGCAACTATGAACTGGCAATCCATGTGAAGACCGCAGCATCGCCCAGGGCAACAAAAATAGTACCTTTGTGGATGCCGTTTTGGATGCTTGGGCAAGACTGGCATGGGGTAAACACAGCATCCCAAGAATGCACTACCACTAAAAGTAGTGTATCAACTTCAAATTTTTAATTCTCCTCCCTTTGCAAACATGGTTTGGCCATGCTTGGCCATGCTGCCAAGGACATTGTTCTGGATCTGCGCTGACACCTTGGTGGCCCTGCTCTCAGCTTCCGAGGAGGCAGGATGGTCGCTCTATGTTTTCTTCGGCTTCTTCGCTTTGAGTTTTAGTAGGAGCCCCCAAAAAGATGCTAACAAAAATAGTGGTAGGCTCCAATCAAAAATAGAGTATAGTTGAACCGCACCTCTTTTGCATCTTTTAGTACTATATTTATCACTTTTTGTTATTATTTTTTGGCGCAAGCAGCTGTTCCGCAAGCACCAGTTTCCCGTGTGAATGGAACTCTTAGAATCGCTAACGCAGGACTGATGTGAGCTGAATTCGTTGATACCAATGGACCCACAATTGGCTATTCGTGTATAATATTTCACCATCCATTTTCAGGATCTAAAATAGGAGTCTAAAAACCCGTGCAATTCCCAGCCCAGGTTTCCTCTACGCGGCTTTCTGTTTGCACAAGCTGCAAGGGCACAAACGCATGTTGGATCAGATGTCGGCCTTCGACCTTCGAAATGCCAAATGCACGTTCGAGGAAGACCGTTGCTGGGACACTTCTGGCAGAGGTTTCCACAAGGGTTTCTGATCCCCAAAGCATGTTTTGATGCAGACACCACTTGTCTCGGGGATATCCTAAATTTGAGAAACCATCTACATCTAAGCCTTTTTTCGGTTGAAATCCAGATCGGTTGGTCTGAAAATGAAAGAGGGACCTCCAACACCCCCCAACATTTGGCCGCTTCTTGGGGAAACTGATGATGAACGCATGGGCTTTTGGGTGCCCAATTTTCGAACATACCCACAGGACAAGCAACAAGGGTTGTTGACGACCATCAATCCTAGGCTGGGTGCGCGAAGCCCTTAGTGTGGGTATAGAGCTTTAAGGATTGGCCGGTTGGCGTAAAAATCTTGCCGCATGGTGCCCCCCATGATACCCCGAATCACGTTGAGGTGCTGTCATCGAGGAGCTTGTCTCTTTACTTTCTGATTCAGTAATTTTCATTTTCAAACCTGGAAAAATCTTGAAACCAAATAGGCCACTTCGGTGCTTAGGATTTGGGTTTGTGTGAAAGTTCGGGATACCCAAAATGGCGACTTAGCGGTGGACATCGGGGAGTACCGTAGTTTCAGACAAACCCAAATCATGTTCCTGGGAGGTGGAATGTTAGTAAATCAATAGTAAACCATCCCCAATTTTGCCACAAATGGGTACATACAAGTCATGATCAAGTCATGAAAATATGGGTGGTTTATTATTGCTTTGCTACCACTATGCATTTTTCTTGTCGTTTTTCTCCATTGTTTGGCTCAGGTTTTGAACTTGTTTGACGAGGCATTGGAGCCCCCCATCAGGGTCGCCTTTGATGCGCCTGACGCCGAGGATGGAACTGTGGAGGACGCGACGATGATGTGGGGTAGCCTCTGGTAAACTAACAGTGTGCGAACTGGACAATCACCATTTTTAAGAGGTAAATCAACTCAACTATAGAAGGGGACTTTCGATAGATATGTTGAATTACGGAAGGGTATTAATGGCTAAGTTTTTGATCGTTTTTGCAATTTTTGTGGTGGAACATGTATGAGCTGAAGTTTTGTTCCTGTGGAATTTGGGGTAGCACATTTTCAGACAGGTCAGCTTGGTTTCCCTGGTCGTCCTGGTACCTTGGACCCAAGTCCCATATTGGAGTACCATTCGGGATCAGATGATCTCTTTGTCGCTGTGCTACCACCGCCTGGATCCCCTAGTCTTTGTGGCCATCGGCGCCCATCCATAGGACTTAGAGAGACTTACAGCATCTTAGAGCCATAATTCATCATAATTCATCATAATTCATCATAATTCATCAGAATTCATCATAATTCCATATTCCATCCATATACTTTAGAACCTCCTGCTTCCCATTTCTTCGTCCTTCGTGGCCATAAACTAATTGGGGCCCCAATTGGGTTGTTGGACCAGAACCGCTTCAACCATGTTCAAGCCCTCTTGCAGGAAGCCGGTGAACCCCTTATTTCCTTGGAAAGCTTGCGTGCCATACGGCATGTCACAAGTTATCCCAGCCCCGATGCGATCATTGGTCAGTTTCCGAGACGCAAAATTGGCTGCCAAAGAATTCAGTTGATATGGTACTATCATGGTATATCAGTTAATATCATCACGTATTATTTGGTAGATGATAATCATGGTATTTAGTTTGGTATATCGGTATATCTACTTAATTTACTTTATGTTTTTCCCGAGAGCGCCTGCGAAGGGTTCTTCGTAAAAAAGCAGCCGTTATACTAGATCTTCACACCTTCACACCTGCAGATCTAGATCTTCACACCTTCACACCTGCAGATCTAGATCTTCACACTCTCACATCTGCCGATCTACATCTTCACACCTTCACACCTGCAGATCTAGATCTTCACACCTTCACACCTGCAGATCTAGATCTTCACACCTTCACACCTGCAGATCTAGATCTTCACACCCTCACATCTGCAGATCTAGATCTTCACACACCTGCAGATCTATCTGCAGATCTAGATCTTCACACCCTCACACTGCAGATCTACATCTTCACACCCTCACACCTGCAGATCTAGATCTTCACACCCTCACACCTGCAGATCTAGATCTTCACACCTCACACCTGCAGATCTAGATCTTCACATCCTCACACCTGCAGATCTAGATCTTCACACCCTCACATCTGCAGATCTACATCTTCACACCTTCACACCTGCAGATCTAGATCTTCACACCCTCACACCTGCAGATCTAGATCTTCACACCCTCACACCTGCAGATCTAGATCTTCACACCCTCACACCTGCAGATCTAGATCTTCACACCTTCACATCTGCAGATCTCCTCTCGCTCTTCTTCTATTCTCTCTTAAGGCGGGGGCGGTGCCGCCGGAGCGCCACGAAACGCAACCCTTTCGCACGAAATGGACGTTGGACGTCCAAAACCTAGGTAAAATTGCGATTTTGAAGCGTCGCCGGCAACCCTTTCGCACGAAATGGACGTTGGACGTTAAAAACTGAAGAAAAATTGCAACTTTTATTGGTCGCGCGCAACCCTTTCGCACGAAATGGACGTTGGACGCCAAAAACTGAGGAAAAATTGCGACTTTACTTTGTCCATCGCAACCCTTTCGCACGAAATGGACGTTGGACGTCAAAAACTGAGGAAAAATTGCGACTTTACTTTGTCCATCGCAACCCTTTCGCACGAAATGGACGTTGGACGTCAAAAACTGAGGTAAAATTGCGATTTTACTTTGTCCATCGCAACCCTTTCGCGCGAAATGGACGTTGGACGTCAAAAACTGAGGAAAAATTGCGACTTTGAGGTGTCAATCGCAACCCTTACACACGAAATGGAGGTTGGACGTCAAAAACTGAGGAAAAATTGCGACTTTGAGGTGTCAATCGCAACCCTTACACACGAAATGGAGGTTGGACGTCAAAAACTGAGGAAAAATTGCGATTTTACTTGGTCAATCGCAACCCTTTCGCACGAAATGGACGTGTAAAAGCGTCTGTGTGTAAAAGCGCCTGTGTGTAAAAGCTTCTGTGTGTAAAAGCCTCTGTGTGTAAAGGAGTCTGTGTGTAAAAGCTTCTGTGTGTAAAAGCGTCTCTGTGTAAAAGCGTCTGTGTGTAAAGGAGTCTGTGTGTAAAAGCGTCTGTGTGTAAAAGGGTCTGTGTGTAAAAGTGTCTGTGTGTAAAAGCGTCTGTGTGTAAAATCGTCTGTGTGTAAAAGCGTCTGTGTGGTAAAAGCGTCTGTGTGTAAAAGCGCCTGTGTGTAAAAGCGCCTGTGTGTAAAAGCGCCTGTGTGTAAAAGCGCCTGTGTGTAAAAGCGCCTGTGTGTAAAAGCGCCTGTGTGTAAAAGCGTCTGTGTGTAAAAGCGCCTGTGTGTAAAAGCGTCTGTGTGTAAAAGCGTCTGTGTGTAAAAGCGTCTGTGTGTAAAAGCGTCTGTGTGTAAAAGTCTCTGTGTGTAAAAGCGTCTGTGTGTAAAAGTCTCTGTGTGTAAAATCAATCTGTGTGTAAAAGCGTCTGTGTGTAAAAAGCGTCTGTGTGTAAAAAGCGTCTGTGTGTAAAAAGCGTCTGTGTGTAAAAAGCGTCTGTGTGAAAAAGCGTCTGTGTGTAAAAAGCGTCTGTGTGTAAAAAGCGTCTGTGTGTAAAAAGCGTCTGTGTGTAAAAAGCGTCTGTGTGTAAAAGCGTCTGTGTGTAAAAGCGTCTGTGTGTAAAAGCGTCTGTGTGGTAAAAGCGTCTGTGTGTAAAAAGCGTCTGTGTGTAAAAAGCGTCTGTGTGTAAAAAGCGTCTGTGTGTAAAAAGCGTCTGTGTGTAAAAAGCGTCTGTGTGTTAAAAGCGTCTGTGTGTTAAAAGCGTCTGTGTGTTAAAAGCGTCTGTGTGTTAAAAGCGTCTGTGTGTTAAAAGCGTCTGTGTGTTAAAA